CGGATCGGCGGCGGGGCGGGGGGTGGCGACGGCGAGAGGTGGGCTGTCAGAGCGCGAGCGGGAGGAGGGGGGGGGCAGCCTCGTAGAAGCGGGGAAGGCAAGAGCAGCCCGCAGCCGCGTCCGCTGAAGGAAACGGGGAGCAACAGCCCGTGCCCCTCACCTCGTGCGCGTACACCTTCCGTTCCCATGACAACGGGTTGCTGCTTCTGGGCCAGGTCGTGGCTTCCTCCCTGCTCCTCACCGGGGCGCGAGGAGGCGATCTGGTGCACCCCACAGGTGGCTCAGCGTGCGGGGCGCCCCGGGCACTTCGTCCCCTTGGCCATTCATGCCGCCGCACTTGGCTTGTGTGCACGCCTCGCGCCTCTTAAAACAGCGGCAGTCACCCCAAAACAGATCACCCTGCAGCAGGGTGAATCCAGCCTTGCAGCACCGCCTTGTTGAATGAGCACCTTGTAGCATCGAGGAGGGCAGTTCGGTAATTTAAGAAATGCACGACCAAGCCACCGAGCCCAGGGCCATGTAATCTCTGGTAAAAGACTGATACATCAAGTTTGAGGTTTGGGTAGGCTTCTACAAACGTGGGGTTTGTTTTTGCACCCTATGTTGGGTGAATGCCATCGGTGACCACCTGTCCAAGTGCTAGGTAAGGTGGCAGCCTGCTCATTCATAGAGTTTTGTCTTGTTGGAGGAGCACTCCCCAGTAGTACTAGGTGTTCCTCCAAAGAAATGAAATCTTGGTGTTTCACACAGCAGCTATGCAGTGTTGTAGTTAAGCTAACTAGAACCAAGGGAAAATCCAGTGTGCTGACAGAAGAACCTGCTGTAATAGCCCAGAGGAACATCCCAAGGATAAAGATACGGAACAGCTAAAATGTCTAGGGTAGTGATGGCGAACCTATGACATGCGTATCAAAGGTGACACATGCAACATTTTGGGTGACATGCCAGCATTCACCAACACGCGACAGCTATTCTCTGTTTGAGTTACCAAAGAAACTGAGTGATGGCGAACCTAAATAAATAAAAAATTTTAAAACTTAAAAAAAAAAACGACATGCGTATCAAAGGTGACACATGCAACATTTTGGGTGACATGCCAGCATTCACCAACACCGGACAGCTATTCTCTGTTTGAGTTACCAAAGAAACTGAGTGATGGCGAACCTAAATAAATAAAAAATTTTAAAACTTAAAAAAAAAAACCTTACATTTTTTTTTATTT